TTAAGGCCCCGGAAGAAGAAACGCAAGAGCAAAGTGGGACTTGATGATGACGGGTCTAAGGTGAGCACCCTTTCTAGTTTGTTCCGCTTAGATGAAGATATTTCAAGGCTTGTTTTTACTTATCGCATCCCTCCGACCGTGTTGTGCCGTCAGGTTGAGTTGGACGAGCTTGCTTGCGATGACTCTTTCAGGGATATTGTTGTCTACGAGGAGATGCTTGAGGCTGGGTTAAGATTTCTCATGTCCTCCCCCATTTGTCGTGTTTTGCATTACTTTTCCTTGACTCCAGGGCGACTAGCGCCCAAAGGTTGGAGAGTCCTGCTTGGTTTTCTTGTATTATGGAGAAGGGTGCACCACGAGGATGCTTCCCCTATGGAGTTTCATGCAGCATATAATTTGAGCGAAACCCCTACACCAAATAGGGGATAGTACTATTTTACCGCAGGGAGTGGTACAGTGCTTACAGAAACGCGCTCTAATTACGGCGGCTGGAAATCTTGTTTCTTCTTTATTAGTGGAGAATGGGCTTCAGAAGCCGATAGAGCTTTGGTGCCAACACATTGGGGTGCTGCTAAAAAATCCGGTATGCTGCACACTTCTTCTTTTTCCTTTTTTTTTATACGTGTGTGCTCATTTTTTCCATGCAGATATATCTGTGCTTTCCCGGGACCAGGAGTGGAAATTGGAGGCTGTCAAAGCTTGCCCTTGTAAAGATTTGGGAGTTCTCCTGCCCAAGTATACTAGAGCTGTAGCTCCATCTCAGAAATCTGGCAGCTCCTCTTCGAAGAAAAGGGGTGAGCTAGTTTCCTCTCCCTCCTTTTTTTCTTTTTTTTTTATCTAACCCTTCTCTACTCTTGCAGCAAGTAAGAGGGTGGTGGTGTCCTGTTTTTCTAGCAGGAGCCCTCCTTCTTCCAAAGTGATAAGGACGGATGATGCCCCCCATGTGGCTTCCACAGTGGCTCCTTCTCAACTGGCAACTTCTCCAACTGCTGCTCCAGAATCTTCCTTGCCAGGCACATCTGTTCCACCTTTATCCTCTCCTCGTGCTACCCCTCCTTTGTCTCCTC